CTTTTTAGTACAAGCTTCAAGGGAGCCTGGCTGGCTGGAAGGGACTCTGGATGGCAAGAGGGGGCTGATTCCACAGAACTACGTCAAGCTGCTGTAGCTCCTGGCCCTGGAGGGCCCCACTGCCCCGCACCTGAGCACCTGCTGGGAGCGACACCCACATCCTCACTGCGAATTGCAGATCACCGTTGGCACTCCAGGGCCAGGGAAGGTTCCAGAACTCGCTGCAGGGGACTGTGTAGATTTGTGGATCAGAAGAAATCAGGATGAACAGGACAATTCATTTGGCCAGCATCCTGACTGGGATTTTTAATTATCCAGCCCAAGAACGAGAGGGAGGGCTGCTGTCTGCCCCCGCCCCCACCCCGGCCGCCCCCTCCAGGAACAACCACCAGACCCGGGATCTCTCCTCCTGCACTCCTGCTGCTGAGATCTTAAAGGGAACTCTCCTTCCTCACTGTGCTGGGCCTGTGGGGGTGTGCTGGGCCCTGGTGGCCATGGTGGGGAGGGGGCTGCTGCGGTGCAAGAGAATTGTCTCGACCCAGACAGGAGCAGGGAGACGCTCTCTGGGAGCCAGCTCCTTCCTGGACCACCACGCTGGGCCTCTGCGCTCACTCCACCGCCACCGGGCACATGGGCATATTTATAACCGGCTTTTCCTGGTGCTCCTCACCTGTGTGCTGTTTGTACAATGTCACCTTTAGGCCCCAACTTCTCTCTGTAAATGAAATAAAATGTAATTTACTATTTGACTGGTCTGGCCTGATGTGGGGAAGAGATCATGCAGTTCATTCCCTCTGTAAGGCTTCATGATACTGGATGAAAAAATCGCCTCCCTCTGATGCCGGCGCAAACTGACTTGTAGACTCAAGTCGGTCAGTTTGATGGGATCCTTGACTGTTCGTAGCAGGGCACATTCCTGGGGGCCATGGGTGGGGAAGGGGTCTGCTCTGATGTGTGAAATCTGAGGGGCCCCCTCCAGCATCTGCACAGGATTTTTCCCCAGAGGCTGGCAGGAGGAGGGGAAGTTGGCCCATCAGCTGCAACCGTGCTGGGTAAGTCTCTCCCACGCCACCCGACCTGCTCCCCGTCCTCCGGGCCTCAGCATTGTTCTCTCCATCAGGATTAAGCTGGGCTTCAAGGAAGACCAGACCATTTCCCGAGTAGCCTTGGCCCTGACCTTGCAATGCTGCCTCATTCCCCTCAGCTTCCAGTTCTGGGCACAGGCTCAGCCTCAGTCTCTCGGGGAGGATGGAGCTCAGTTTTCATGGTCTCAGGATTCTGAAGCCAGTCCTGGGCCAGAGGCTGCTGGTGGTTGGGGGGTGGGGGTAGGGGCGACTTGTCTCTTCCTCATGGGAGATTCTGGGCCTGTTAAGATTTCTGGAGAATTTATCAAAAGAAGGATGTATCTGTTGCCTCTTCCTCAGATAAAGTGACTCAAGAGCTTGCTGTTTCCCTGGTTAACAGCTTCAAAGTCGCCTCACTTGGACCATGTAAGGGCATCGAGTTTGGAGTTGCTGTAGATTGGACCTGGAATGTTCTTCAAAGGCCTGTGTCAGAGGTTTGGT